AGCACAAAGCTATAAGTCATCGTGGTCGAGAACTTGACCGTGCTGACATTGTTGAGATTGTTGATCACGCTAGATAATACGCTCTCTCCCAAAAACTGGTCAAGTGAGCGAAATAAAGGGTTCAGTTCGACATTTCAACCACCTGAAGAAAGCCGGAGCGTACAACGGCCGAAACGTTGTAATAGATATGGCGACAAAGATATGGACAATAGTCCGAATAATGTAAATAGTGTACATAATATCTCATCTCAGAAATATAGAGAGATATTCTTTACACGTGAGTTTAAAGCCCTGGGCTTTTTGGAGTTGTCTGTGTTTTATAGCCCCGAACGAATTGGATCAAAGAAAACTTACTTTTATTCAGGCAGGAATGAATGTGACTTGTTCGAAAGTCATACATTTAATATTTAATTGACAGGAATTAAGGTAATAAAAGTGCGCCAAGCCTACCTGCCTATAAACATTTTTACGTCTATATTCTAAATTTTACGTCTTTATTCTAAATTTTACTTCCGACTCTCTGTATGGTAATAAATTACACATTTTTATGAGGCCATCTGCGACCCTTGGAAAAACCCTCGCGAGCCTATTAATGGTCACGACCATAGGTTTGAGAACCTTTGGTTTAGAAGGACAGCAAAAAGACAAAATTTATTAAGAGTGACAAAAGACAGGAATTCGTGGAGAGCCATGATTACCAAAGTCTATGTAATATATATATATATATATATATATATATATATATATATATATATATATGTATGCATGTTTCATTAAAAACGACAGACAAAATACTACAGTTGAGCTTTTTATTTAATTTTTCTTGTGTTCTGACAAGAGCTTTCTTTTCTGGACAAAGAGTGTGTAAGAACTGTCTGAATGTTCTGTGTTTCCAGCACTTTCAGCTATACCTTTAGCCATTATCAAGGATGATTCAATTATCAGCTTAGTAGAGTGTGTGCATTCTGTATATGTTCAGTGTGTGGTAGTGATGTTTTTTAGTTTCCGAATACCACACACTGAACATACACAGAATGCAATACACTTCTACTAAGCTGATAATTGAATCATCCTTGATAATGGCTAAAGGTATAGCCGAAAGCGTTCGAAATATAAAACATTTGGACAGTTCTTACACACTTTTGTCTAGAAAAAAAAGCTCTTGTCAGAACAAAGAAAAATTAAATAAAAAGCTCAACCGTAGTATTGTCTGTCGTTTTAATGAAACATGCATAAAGGAAGGATTGTTGCCTAAATATACAAATATATATATATATATATATATATATATATTTGTGTGTGTGTGTGAAAAGTGTGTGTGTGTGTGTGAAAAGTGTGTGTATATAAATATATAAGCGACGAAGTTTCCCCACCACTTCCACAATAACACCAATACACGCAAAACCCAAAATTTTTAAAAATTAATCAGTTTGTCTGACGATCGCTAAAGCGTGAAATCCAGGGTTACAAACTCACATCTATCCAACCAAATATATATATATATATATATATATATATATATATATATATATATATATATATATATATATATGTCAGTGGAAAGTGTCATGATGCCATATCTAACCTTATGTCTCTGGGGGTGGCCCGGAAAGAAATGTGTAAACGCCAGAAATTAAAGGAAATAATAATAATAATAATAATAATAATAATAATAATAATAAGAAGAAGAAGAAGAAGAAGAAGAAAAGAAGAAATAGTATAGTATCTTCTCACTCTGTTTACATTTACAACCTTCGTTTCCCCAAATATTATTTCTCTTATTCCTATTTTGCTAATGTTTTCAATTTCATTGTTCATTCTCCTGTTCGGCATTCTTTTTTTTTTTTTTTGCAGATTTCAATGTTAAATTCTCATCACTCAATAAAATGTTCTCGTTTAAGTTAACCACTTTCTCACGGAACATGTCAATCTTTATATAACAGAAATTAGCGACAATAACGAAGACTGTTTTGTAGTTACAAAAATGTCGGTCATGTTATTTTTAGAAGGTAACAGTTTTATGGCGAGCAGTTACTGCAAATCTGGACATTAATATCAAGAGAAAAAGCAAGGATAATAACAAATAAAAATAATGCTTATTTCTCTCTTTCTTTCCATTCATCTATCTCTCTTTTAATCTTTCTCTCTCTCTCTTTCCCTCTCTCTTTCTTTTCTTCTCTTCATCTGTCTCTCTTTCCCTTTCCTTTCTATCATCTCTCTTTCTCTCTTTTTCCTTCCATTCATCTATCTCTCTTTCCTTCTCTTCATCTGTCTTTCTCTCTCACTTTCCTTCTCTTCATATCTCTTTCTTTCTCTTTCCTTGTCTCTCTCTTTCATTTCTTTCATCTCTCTCTCTCTCTTATTCTTTCCTTTCCTTCATTTCTCTCTTTCTTTTCTTTCCATTCATCTCTTTTTTTCTTCCTTTCATCTCTCTCTCTTTCTGTCTGTATGTCTCTCTCTCTCTTTTCCTTCCCTTCATCTTTCTTTAATCATGATTCACGTGTATTCGACTTAAACAAGCGTTAGTATAATTTGTGGCGTACAAGGAGAGACGAGTCGTCCTTTCGAAGTTCAAATGTTTCATACTAAACGCAATATTGTGTTCAGAATGCAATAGATTGTCGCCTCTAGGTTTTGACGTCAATGTCCACTATATATATATATATATATATATATATATATATATATATATATATATATATTCAAATGAGAGAAAAAGAACAGATGGAATAAAAAAGTCCTCTGTTCGCAGAATTTGCTTTTAAAAAGTGCTCAATAAATAGTAGAGTAATATATCATTATTATATTTTTATAAGATATAATGAAAGCTTTTTGAAATCGATTTCAAAATGTTTTTATTATAATCTCTTATAATAAAAATATTATATTAATATGTGTGTGCGTGTGTATATATATGCGTATATATGCATATATATATATGTATATGTTTATAAATATATATGTGTGTGTGTGTGTATTTAGGCAGTAATTATTCTTTCATGAACATTTAATTGAATACAACAGACAAGGTGATTTCATTTATTTTTTTATACAATTTCTCGTGCGATCTAATAATATTTTTCTTTTCAGGTGATAAATTATATAAAAAACTGTCCGAATGTTCTTTTTATCCGAGCACTTTCGGCTATACATTTAGCCATTTTCAAGGATTAAATATTTTAACTGTTAAATAAGAAATAGTTTTTGCATATATATATATATATATATATATATATATATATATATTTAAATAGATTTGAAACGGTACAAAAGCGTATTAAGGCATTTAAAACAAGAAATTTTATATTGTAGGCCATGAGAAATTTAAAACAAAACACATACCAGTCGACCGGTTTCGTCCCCTCTCGTCAGGCATGATTTTTTTTGATTTTTTATTACTTCCCTGTCCACTCATTCATGTCATCCATGACAGACTTTTTTCTTTTTTTTTTTTTCCTCATAATCTTAGTTCCTCGTTAACAGTTCTGACCAGAGGGGACGAAACCGGTCGACTGGTGTGTGTTTTTTTTTTAAACTTATCATGGCCTACAATATATATATATATATATATATATATATATATATATATATATATATATATATATATATATATATTCGTATATATAATATGGTGTAGAATAGTATAAAAGTTGAGATCATGAGAAAAGCCAAAAAGCTTGTCCAGACATGCGTTTCGCTTTGTCATGCCAAACGTCTTCAGATCGGAATGAAAGACACACTAGAATGTAAGGAAACTGTATTGGAATATATGAGGAAAAAATAATAGATATCTTTATATCACGTCCAGATATTACGTACAAAAAGTTATTTTTTCGTAGTGAAGCCGTTAACGTTTGCTGGATGCAAAATTAACCAATTGCGACTCTGTCTTTGTCCCTGTTAGTTCGTGTATCGCATTGTGCTTCAATTGCTTTTGCGATGATCGATGATAATGTATACGAGTAGGCGGGAAGAATAATTGGCCTAATTTTATCAGCAGTGCTGGGATTATTATTATTATCTATGGATGTTTCTTTTATATATTTTATAGCTCACGCGATTTATCAACACTATCTTTTATTTATCAACTTTTGTAGGCCCTGCGTTTTATTTATTTGAAATTGTGCGTAGAAAGTTCTGAGCGTGTGTTTCTTCTGAGAGCTTTTGGCTAATATATTATAAATTTTAACAACACTCGGGCCATAGGTTCATAAGTCTCAGTTTAAGCTAACATAAAAACTTACCATCTTCGATACGCAACATATTCGAATAACTGATATAGTGCACGCTTGTAAATGTGAAAATAGAATCTAAAAAATAAAGGAAGCACGCGGTATTAAAACTGGAAAAAAAAACTCCATAAGAACATCAAATAGAAACACGGCCATTACATACTGGCCATATTCGAAAAATTAATAATATATCTACTTGTTTGTAAAAAAGACATTATTTGTAATAATAAAAACATTTCACTGGTGTTAACCTCCAGGGAAGTGAGTGATTTGTAATAGTAAAACCATTTGACTGAAGCTAACCTCCAGGAGAGTGAGTGATTTGTAAAACCATTTGACTGAAGCTAACCTCCAGTAATTTTGCTGATGAGTTTTCCATGCAAATAGCTTCTTCTGTCGCACTTCTCGCTTGTGGAACAGTCTTCCGGCTTCTTACTTCCCAGTCAACTTTGATCTTCAAAAATGTAAATGCAATTTCAATCTTTATCGCTTGTATTCTTAATTCCTGTTCTTTTATTATTCTTTCTCCTTAATAATAATTATTTTTTCTCTCATATTCTTTAAAACTCAGTAACCCTCCTTGCATCTTAGTGGCTTTATTGCCTTCTTGGATGGAAATAATTTAAAACAAAAATAGCACAAAGAAAAAATCTTTGAAAGTGACTAATGGGTTAAGCGAAAGCAAACGTAACGAGCATTCATTTGAACAAGTTTTACATGCAGTGAGGTCACAAATGAACGCCCTTGTTCACACACAATTAAAACACAACAATTAATTAACAGTACTTTATTAGAGAGAGAAAGAGAGAGAGAGAGAGAGAGAGAGAGAGAGAGAGAGAGAGAGTTGTCCAAATATAAAATTATATATGTTATAAAATCAGGTATATGATTTGGACAGAGTTATGGAATATTGATAACTGGAAAACGTTCTTGAAAGAATAGTGTATTCGAAAAATTATTCGAATATGCATTTCACCGTTTAGGCTTCATCAGGTCTAAAACTAACAAATGAGTTGCGTATGTGCCTGCTTTTGGGAATATTTACAAATTGTTATATCGGAATAAGGTGTCGCTGCCGACACTTGAGTTTGAACATAGATCGCAAAGCGAGCAAACACAGGCGATCCCATTATTGAATTAAGTAGATCACGTGACCATAGAGGAAACGCATATATGTAGGAAGTAGCTGGCTTCTAACTGATCGCTATTTCTAGTCTATCCTCTATTTCTATAGGGATAGTTATTTCTACTTTACCTCTACTACTATGAGGATCTCTATTTCTAGTCTATCCTCTATTACTATACGAAACGCTATTCTCTACTCTATTCACTATACTATTTCTCTCATCAGATCACTCTACGGATTACTATTCGAGCGAGTATTATCGGGGAGGTACTATTAGCGCAAGTTATATTCGAAGGCATTTGAAACCAGTGTTATTCAACGGCGTTACTATAGTTGTATCTGCGATTACAAAGTCTCTACTACAACGAACATTACGAAAGTGTTGGGGCGCACCCACCTTCTAACTAGAAATGGACTGGTCCCTCTTATATAAGTCAGCTCTAGAGAGAGGACGGGAGAGCGTCACAGAGCGTCAGTGAGCGAGTGAGAGAGCGTCAGCAGTCCAGATAAGCTTACCAGTTACATACCGTTGGACTATAGACTTTGGATATTGTTTCGTACTAACCAACATTCGTTCTACTAATCACTCTATTGTTAATTGCTTTTACAAATATACCAGTATTTTCCTCTACAACTGTGTTTGTCTTAATTCATACACCGACACGCGGGAAACTCATAACATCTCAACAGAAAGTGACAACGAGTATTCGTTGACATCACAAAAGTGGCAGCGAGTGTTCGTTGACATCACAAAACCTTTTGTCAATTTTCCAAGGGTAGCAAAATGAGAAGAGTTGAGTTTTGAGCTTTCTACCCAAATTGAAACCCAGTACCCTCTGACTGAGGGGTGATATCTGTTGATTATTGTATTTTGTACCTGTGATGCCAGTTATTGCTATCAGGTGGTGAAACCAGTGTTTAACTACCTAATCCAGGGATTGAACTCACAAGTACATTAACACACATATAACCAACACCTATATCCACTATACTACCATTCCAAATGAGTGTACATCAGTGGTGTATCTTTGGAAATTTTATATTCAATGTCAGTTGGTTTTGATATTTCATTATCATGGTAGTTTATAGCGTTTTTGTAATTTATTATATTATTAGGTCGTCCCAAAAGTTCGTAAACATTTGCAAAAAATTGAAATTTTACTCGCCAAGTAATAAAAAAACAACAAAAAGTATTCCTCAAAATAAAGACCATCATTTTCCAAGACTTTCTGCCATCGATCTGCAAGCTTTCGGATCTGGTGAAAGTACCATTCAGCCGGCTTCGAATCAAAGAATTCTTGACACGCTTCCTCGACTTCATCAAACGAGTCGAATCGGTGGCCCTTCAGAAAGTGTTACATTGAGCGGAAAAGGCCGTAATCTGATAGAGCTCAGTCAGGACTGTAGGCTGGATGTGGCAAAACCTCAATTCCGTCCAGCTCTTCAAACTTGTCTTTGGTCTTCCTGGCGGTGTGTGGCTTGGCATTGTCCTGCTGCATCAAAGCGCGCTTTCGGTTGATCAGAGCCGGGTACATTTGCTTCAACTTTTCGTAGACCCGCTCCAGTTGCTGACAGTAAAGTTCGGCACTGATGGCACGACCATTCGGAACCAACTCAAAATGCACGATTCCTTCAAAGTTCCACCAAACGCACAATATGACTTTCTTGCCGAATCGATCTTTTTTTTTTTTTGAAACGACGGTGTCTCTTGCCCTTTCTGAACCCATCGCTTGTCTCAATTGTGCTGGATTGTGTTGCATAAAAATTCAATTTTTCGCAAGTGTTTACGAACTTTTGGGACAACCTAATATTTCATATGTTGTGTCAATAATAACATCTATATCAACCAAGATAGGAACAATAGTTCAAAATAATACAAGTGTATTGACAATATTCATATTATTGAACAATGAGAATATTTAATAACAGATTGAATAAGATGAATTACTTTGTAGTGTTTGTGAAGAGAAACATTAAAAAATCTGCATAAATTAAGAGTTGATAAAATGAACAAATTAGACAGATTCAAATTCTGGCAGACATATTAGAACATATTCTATTAATTAGGTACCTCAGCAAGATTTGTGATACTTTACATTTAAAATGGATTTTTATAAATGAAAAATCTTTCTTGCAGCTTTT